GGGGGGCGGTGGTTCCGCGCGCCCTCCCGGGGAGGCGCCGGGCCCGCCGGTGGGGCGCCCTCCCGGCATTGTCTCTCTGGGCGGCGGAGGAAAGTTCCCCGCCGTTCCTGGAAGGGCGGCCTGGCCCCGCGTTGCCCGTCCCCGGCCCCCCGCCCTGGCTTGGACACGGCGCTGCCAGGCAGGCCCCAGGCCACTTGCTTTAAGCAAGTGAGACGAAACGAAAGGTGGGGGGTAGGGGGGGGAAGATTCCCAGCCGGGGCTTGGGGTTTGCTCACGGGAAGACTGGGAAGTAGCTTGTGTTTTTCCCGCTTGTACCATATTGGGACTTGCTGCATTTTTCTGAGAGCGACGAGAAGTTTAAAAGAAAAAAAACTCGCTGGCGTCTGGTATCCTGCGGTTTTCATACGACCCGAGAGTTCTCAGGCATTCCTAGAGCGGTTTCCTTTAATAATTGATTCTTCCACTAGTGCAGGGGGATGGATAGCCGACTTCAGACCATCCCTTCCTCAGCGGGAGCTCAGGTTTACCTGCACTGATCGGAAAGAACAAGAACTTTCTTCTACTCTTCCCGTAGACTCTATCAGGTTGTCTTGGCAAGATACTTGATTCTGGGATGACAGCGGGGCCAGAGTTGCTGAGTACTTGAGGCCAGTTTTATTTCTGTTGAACCCTTCACCCCAAGGCCTTTCTGTTTTGCAATTGGTGGTCCACTGTTCAGCAAAAAGATGCAGGTATTTTGGAAAACAGCAGATCTCAACAGTTCAGAAAGAAAAACGATCTTCCATCACCACTGTTTCAACCCCTTGTTGTTAGGCATACGAGGCTGGGAGCTAGCTTACCCAAGTGGCATGGCCAGTCCTAAGACTCCCAGCCCAGTGCTCCTTTCATTATGGCAGTTTCTGTTCTGGCAGCATGAGACATTTGGAAATAGGTCTTATTTGCATTATAACCTTTGTTGTTTTCCTGTCTTCCCTTGTTCTGTCTTACCTATTACTGCTGCTATTTTTGAGATAAGTGGTTATCTCAAACTTGGTATTTTGAGAGAGTGAGTTAAAAAAAAATTCCCTAACCCCTACTGTTCAGCCACCAAATGGATCTGAAACCTAAAATGGGTGGCTTATTACATAGGGAATTACTTTTCTGTATCCCATTCTTTTGTGCAAAATAGAAACTTCCATGAAAATAGAAAAAGGGTGGTGTCTTAGCACAAAATGTACCCTATGGTGTTCTCTGGACTTGATTTTCAGCCCTCCTATATCTTGTGAGCTAAGCAGCCCGTCTATTTTTCTCCTGATGAGAGCTCCGAATGGCTGGTTTTTCATTTTTAGTATGTGATAATGTCGGAGAGAAAGGACTTGTTCACAGGCTTGCCATTTGGTGAAGGAAATTGAAATTCTCTCCACCTCTCACCAGCCACAATGAGCCAGATTTTTGACATCAGTCAGAGCCTTGCAGGCCCAAAAATGAATGTGTGCATCCAAATGGGGCCCTCCCTCGCCCAGCGTGAGGACCCACCTCCCAGCTGGCATCTCCACACGGCAACCCACGGGGCTGACGTCTAAAGGAAAAAGGGAACCCGTGTTACCTGGAACAGTGTGGTTCCTGCATTTTCTCTGTAGGTTCTCAGCTGTGTTTGACTGGGTCCTGCCACCCCATCCTCATTTTTCCCTTTCTTGTTTCCTCACACTTCTCTTCTAGTCGCTGTATCTGGCATGGGCTCGAAAAGAAGTCTTTCCTGTAGGATGCACAGATGATCCCCACATGAGCAGTAGTGTCAAGGACAGCTAACATTTACTGAGCACTTGCTATATGTCCTAGGCATGTCACCTCCTAAGAAGTCCCGAGGAGGAGAGGGAACTCCTTTGGGAGCCTTGCCCAGGAAGGATGCCACTTTTCAGATTCATCTGGAATTGACTCATTCTCTCATTCATTCAGTACACGTTTGCTAAGTGGCTCCCCCGTGGGAGGTGCCAGTCCTGCAAAGATGAATAGGACCCTATGTTCAAGGCCTTCTGTTTCCAGCCTCATCCTTTCGTGTCAGCGTCACACTTGCTCTTTTGGTTAGTCAGTTCAACAAGCCCATAGTGAGCACCTGCTCCGTGCTAGCACTGGGTAAGGTCCTCAGGATAGAGTGCTGAGCAAGACAGGCCCAGCCCCACCCTCAGGGAGCTTGCATTCCAGTGGAGGGGCTAGGCCAAGCAGAGAAGCACCGAAAAGATGGTGATTTTTGTTAGCCGAAATCATGACCAAAGCGAAGTGGGGTGGGGGTGGAAATGGGGGTGGTCCTAGTTTCGCTAGGGAAAGGCCTCTCTGAGACTGAGGACTTGAGAAGAAACTGGCTAGGCAGAGAGGTTGTAGGGGAGGGCATTCCAGGCAGAGGGATCAGAATGTGCAGCCTCCTGTGCGTGAAAGGGCTGGATGTATTCCTGGGACTCAGGGAAGTTGGGGGGCGGGTGGGTAAGGGGGTTGGGCTGGGCAGAGTGTAAGGGAGAGATGGGGAGAATGGCAGAAGGTGAGGTTTCAGAGGGAGGCAGGTTCTAAGCCATGCTGGGGAGGTACCCTCACCCTCTCCCCGAAGTACCCCCACCCTCTCCCCGAAGTACAGAGGGAAAGTAGGGCTGAGTTTGGGCTCCGGAGTGGGATCTGATTGACATTTTTCAGAGGTTATTTTTACTGCTTTATGAAGAGTTGATCACAGCAGAGTGGAAGCAGGGAGACCAGTTTTCTGAATCCAGAAAAGTTGGTGGCGGCTTAGACCAGTGGGGGTGGAGGGAAGTGGGTGTGACCTGGTTAGAACCTGGAGATAGAACTGGTGAGATTTGGTGATGGATGAAATGGGGGTGAGGGCAGGGAGGGACTCGAGGATGACCCCTGGGTTCTGGCATGAACTGCTGGCTGTCATTTGGGAAGACAGGGAAGAATAAAGGTGGAACACGTTCTGGAGAGGATCAGGTTCCATATTGGCCGTGCTAAGTTGGAGATGTCTAGGGAGACATCCAGGTGGAGATCTCGGGCAGACATGAGGGATCGTGACCTCGGACCTCAGAGGGTCCCTGTGGACTAGAGACACTAATGTGGAAATGATCAGGCTGTAGCTGAGCCACCAAAGTGCTGGCCAGCACATGCCCTACTGTTTCATTTCTCCGAGGGTCTGCTGACGTTCTTCCTCCTGCCTGGGATGCTCTTCCTCTCTCTCAGGCTAACTCCTACTCATCTTTGAAAACATACCCGTGTCTTTATCTCCTTGAGGACGCCTCCAGCTCCCCCCAACCCCCAGATCCCTGTGTCTACTTTCATGATAGTATTCAATTGAAGTTATCTTTTTATAGTATCTTATGTTTATGAAAAACTTGATGCAGGCTCTGTCACATAGTAAGTGCTCAACAAACGCTAGCTACTATTATTATTATTATTATTGATGGGAGTGATGGAGAGGCATATAAATAAAAATTATATTGGACAGTATAATGATAAATGATGGATTAGTCTCCTCTTCCTGCTCTCATGACCATAAACTTAGTGGATTAAACAACACAAATTTATTCTCTTACAGTGCTGGAGGTCAGAAGTCCAAAATGAGTCTTATTGGGCCAAAATCACCGTGTTGGCAGGGCTCTGTTCTTTCTGGAACCTCTAGGGAAGCTTCCCTCCAGAAGGAACAGGGAAGACTCAGAATAGAAGGCCCTAGGGAATAATCTGTTTCCTTGCCTGTTCCAGCTTCTAGAGGCTTCCTACATATGTTGGCCCATGGTCTCCTTCCTCCATCTTCAAAGCCAGCAATGTTGGTCTGAGTCCTTCTCATGCTACCATCTCTCTCGTTCCCCCTCCTGGCTCCCTGTTCCATATTTTGAGTATATCAGGCCACCTGTATAATCTAGAATGTTCTCCCTATTTTAAGGTCCAGTGATTAGCAATTTTAATCCCATCTTCCCCCTTAATTCCCTATTGCCACATACCCCATGTAAGCTGGCACATTCGCACATCCTGGGGATTAGGATGTGGACATCTTTGGGGGCTGGTATGGGAAGGTATTATGGGAGTCCTGGGGTCAGGCTCCACTCATATCTTCACTGTCCTCTCGAATATTCATCCTTCATGCAAGCTTTCCTCCTTGCCCAGCTTTATATGAGAATGCCTGGTTGAGGATTCATGTCACTGTGCTTTCTTTGGGCTGCAGG